AAAAAGGCAAAACTATGGTTCTGAGTTTCATTTCTGTAAAGCTGTAGTCCTCAGATTTCATTGTTCTTACATCAGTATTGTTTCATCACACATATCATCTTCTTTATCCCATTTATCCATGATCCTCTCAATCATGTGATACATTGTTTAGGTCATACTTGTCTCCTTGTTTTTACGTAGACTGTAAACAAATCTCACTTGTAAACTGCTATTGTCAATCTCACATAGTCGACATTGTTTTTATGGAGAATGTAAATTGTACAGACTTTGTGAGTAAGTACATGGCTGTAGTTAATGAGGATAGAAAGTTCTTCCTCAACTAATAAACATAGTTAAACTACACACGGCTTGCCCTGCACAAGATGGAGAAATAGACTACAAAGGACAGAAAAAAATAACAGCTTATGGTCAGAAGATCACAGGAAGGTATGTAGTTGACCTGTATAGGTTTCAGAGTTGACCATTGTAATTTTAATCCAGAAAGTAAGCTTGATAGGAGATTAGGCTTAACTGGAAGTGCCTCTTTAAGTGTATATAGTGTCTATTGGGAAACTAAATAGTGTAATGTGGAAAATCAAGAGATTAAATCCCATGCTAGAAACTTAATATTTTTTCCCTTTATAAAGAAGAATTCATGTTTTTTTTTCTTTTCTTTTTTTCCCTTTACTCAGCATTTTGTTCAGTTTTTTTATTATGTCACATTTATTTTGTAATTGTTATCAAAGAGGGTGCCCCTTAACTTTTTGTTCATAACTTTAGTGTTTAACACTTTCAATGAATTAAATAACAAATATTCACTAGAACGGTGTGCTTGTTTTACCATATTAAAGGGACAATGCTGGTATCAATTAGGGCTAAACCATTCAGCAAAATAGGGAGGGGATGTGCATTCATGCAATATAACAAATCTAGGTTGGTTGTGTTGAAGTTTATGATAAACAAATTAACACTAGTATTGAATATAAAGGTCAGATCATTCAACTTAAATTAACAGCATGGATAGCTTTAAGACTTTTGTTTTTGTGTTACTAAACATAATACACTTGATACTACACCTGCTTTTGAATTCCTTTAAATTGTTTCTTTAAAGAGTCATTATGAGTAACTTATTTTTTTCTACAATCTAAATAGATGATTAATATCTTATATATACAGTTAATCTAACCTTCTCCTCCCTATGCTATGATCTACTCAGCCTTACATTTACATGGCAAGCCATGTTTAGTTTAAGTATGTTTTTTCCCATAGAACAAGTGTATGCTATTTAGTGAAAAATTGCAATTTTTTTTTATGGTTTTTGCCATGGTTTGTAAGGTAGAATCTTAATATCGACAAATTCTGATCTGAACAAGATGGAGACAATAAAGACACTGACCTAGCTGATATACACCCTTGTCTTGGTGCTTGTCCTGGAGGTGGTCTGGGTCGTGCCAATGAGTTGGGTGCCGCTGAAGACATCTGACTATCTTCATCCCTGGGTGAGGAAGTGTGTTCACTTGGTTGTGATAAATGGGAAAATTGGTCTTCTTGTGATGATTTCAATGATCTAGGTGATGACCTCAATGACACTGACAATGACCTTGGTGAAGACCTGGGTGACCTTGGTGAAGATCTGGGAGACTGTGGTGGTGACAGAGGTGATTCTGGCGCACAGCCTCCAAGAGGGGATACCGCCCTTGGACTGGTTGATAATAAATCTAGTCGATAAGAATCGTCTCTGATCATGGGGGGACTAGAATCTAAATAAGGTGTGTCAAAGTCTACTGCAGTTTCAAGAGTGCCCTCATCCTCAGATGGTCGCCTTCTTCTACTTCTCTTCCTCCGCATGAGAGGTGAGGTTATGGGACTTCCTGCAGACTGAGGAATTTCTAAAGTGTCCATTCCAAAAGTTATGCTCCGAGTACTTGTTGGTGATGGTGATATTACAAGTACTTCCTCTTTTGGTGGTAGTTCAATCTGATCTCCTTCAAGCGTACGCCTTCGCCATCGTTTTCTCTGCCCGGGTCTAGGTGAAACACTGGGACTTCGCTCTATTGGTTCCTGGGAAATCTCTAACTGGGCTGATGATTCAGGCTGTCCTTCATCAGGCTCATTCTGGGGGCTTTTTCGATTACGATTTCTATTTCTATTAACTGACCGAGCCCGTCTGTGTGGAGACATGGGTTCTTTTGGTCTTGAGGGACTTCTCATAGGGCTTGATGGCTGAACAGTTTCTGCTAAATTATCATACACTGGAGGGGAAAGTTCTGATTGGTCATTATTTCCCCTCAATGCCTCTTCTCTTTCAGCCTTGTATATTTCAAGTGCTTGAATTAAATCTTTCTCGTCTTCTGAACTTTTGCGTGACCTCCTTCTCCTTCGTCTTTCCCTTGCTTGTCTAATGGACGCTTGACTTTGCGCCAGATTTTTATTTTCATCTACTACTTGGTCACAAGATACAACAGTTAACAGGTCCCTTTCTGGTTTAGTGGAATGTGCTTTCTCTAGGTCATTGTCCCCGGTAGATGCTTGTCGTTGTCGCCTCCTACTTCTTCTTCTTTCATCTCTCCTACTAAGAGCTTCCAGTCGATGATCATCTAGCTCATGTAACCCTTGATCCTCTATTCCCCCTGCTTGTGCATACACAGCGGATCGGACACTGAAATCATTATCTTCATCGTTGGGATGTGATTGTGGTTCTTTTATCACTACTTCACAAGATGGCTGTGCAGGTTTTTCTCTTCTTCTTTGTTGCACAGGACTGGCAGTGTACACTGCAGATTCTTCTTTCAGTGAATCACTGGTCACGAGTAATGCTTGCTCAGGTTTAGGTGCATCTACCTGTTCACACTGCTCATAATGTTCTCCAATTTCTAAGTATTCAGCCACTTTGAATAATGCACGTCTAGTCGGCATAGACGATTCCTTGGGAGCTGGAGCTGTGACTGTTTCATCACATTTTATTTCATTTGTGATGGGTTTATCCAATGGTTCGGTTATGCATTCCACTGGTTTTTTGTTGTTATCCTGAGGAAGAGTAACCACAAAATGTACTTCTGAATCTAATGCAGAAGTCACACTCTCCGTCTGATCTGCTTCTTGTAGCCTCAATTCTTTTCTCCTTCGTCGTTCTCTTTTTCTATCACCTCTCTTCCGAACTGCTTTCTCTGGTAGTTCTAGTTTGTTATCTTTCTCTTTCTTGTCCTTGTTGCTTTTTTCAGAAGTGGGAATGTGACTAGTTTCAGAACCTTGACTGATATCTTTATTTTGCTTGCCAGTTTTTGAAGCTAATCCACCAAGTAATCCTTTTCTTGAAGTGAAAAATCTTTCAAGAACAATTTCCTCTTTGCGACCAGTTTCACTGTCTGACTTACAGTCCCTTGTCTGTACATTTTCTGGAGCACTGATTACATCAATAGCAGAATATTGTTCTATTCTTGCACTTGTAGAAACATCACTAGTCTCACTGGGTAATTTATCATCTTCACCAGTTTGTATTTTTACTTCAGGTTTCCTAAAAAACCTGGCCTTTTCACTAGGACTGGGAGGTTTTGTAAGATCCCCTTTGGCAGCTGGTATGAATGGTATTCCACCTTTCCCAACTTTGAACGTAGGAACACCAGATGGTAAAGGTACTATGTTTTTATCTCTTCTACGTCGTCTCTTACTAACAGAGTCAATTTTATCAATGATTTTAACATTCTTAGAGACTGAATCTTTTAATTGCACTATTGAATTCGATTCTACCGGTGTCTTATTGACTTTTGAAAGTTCTTTTTCTGCAGCAACTGCGACAGAAATCTTATCTGACAATTCCAAAATCTTCTCTTTTGAGGTTTTCTCACAACAAACATCATCCTTTGGCAGTAACCCAGCATTGTGCAGTTGAGGTTCTTGTGAAAAATCATACTGGAAAACTTTTGCTACAGGAGATGGAGGTATAGAGTCATCATGATGAGCATCTAAAACAAAACTTGGTACTTGATTATGAGTGGCACACTGATCCACTTTGCCCATTGATCCCTCATGGGTGTATTCTTTGTGGTCTGCATCTATGGCATCAGTAGCAAACCGGACAGCTTTTTCCTCATGCCCATCAGTTCGGTCATCTGAAAGTACAGTTTTTCTCTCTTTTGACACTTGTTCTTCATCAACAAGTGCAGGTGAAATATCTGATGGTTGTTTATAAGAAGAATGATCATCATCCATTAATAATGACTTGGACTTTGAAGGGTGAATCATGGGGGCAGTTGTTATAGCGTCATCATCCATCATAACTGTCGCAACAACAGCCAATGTAGATGGCTGCCATTCACTCACAGGGTGCAGGCCATCTTTCTGATATGCTTGAGCAAAGTCACTGCTGCTTTTACTTCTTTCTTCCTCAGGTAAATTGAAAGTTGTTGGCATCTTGGCAGTGAAGTTGACAAATTTTTCTTCTTGTTTCTGCACTGGGTTATCTGCCTCCTCCAAATTTGATGAAGAAGGGTTTGATTCTTTAGCATCTGTCTCTCTGCTACTTGCATCATCTGCCCATGGCCTAGGAACAGCAGGTAGTTTTCTGTTCCCTTTCCTTCTGTTATTTAAACTCCCCTCACTCTCTTCAACAGCAAGTTTCTTCAAATGTTCTTTAAGTTTTGGCACTAAGGGAAGCTGTCTGCCTGATCTATTAGACCTGTCTGACCGGCTCAAACTTTTACTGGAAGCAGAACTCTGACTGAACTGATCAACATCAGACAAACTCTTCTCAGATTGCTTCTTAGTTTGTTGGACCTTCATTTTCCTGGGTGTTTTCTTCTCACTACTGAAATCTTCCAAAGAATCAACACCAAGAGCAAATATTTCCTCCATAGCAGCCCTTGGTGAAACCAATCCAATCTTCCCAACTTGCTCAGAAAGTTGAGAAGTGTCAATCCTCAGTGAATGAACTGAGGGTATATATTCCAAATCACTGTTAGTGGGTTTGTTTTTATTCTGTAGACTTCGCTCCTCTAAATCTGTATCAGCTAGACGTTTACAATTCTTCTCATCTGGGACATCCCAATTGCCTTCTACTGTGTCATAATTGTGTTTGGACTGGTGATCCGATAAAGCATTCCCAGAACCACTTGAATGTTCCTTAGAATCAGTTAAAATGTCTATATTAGGAATCACTAAATGTTTGGTATCATCTATTTGTTCAAAATCTCTTAAAACTAAATCTTCTGGCTTTTCTTTTTCAGTTGTAGATTTTCGAGGCCTATTGCTTGATACCCTGAGTAAAGCACTTGGACTCTCATCAACCTCTGAGTCATCACCAGCTAAAATTTGTTCCATTAAATCTCTATTGGGACTCCTTTTACTAGCTGATAAATGTTTTTGTATCCTCTTAGCAGCTTCTTCTTCAGTTTCTACACACAGTTCGATTGACTGCCCAGGACTTTCAAACTCAGTGTTAAAAGTAAAAATTTGTTCCATCTTTTCTCTGTTTTGAGTTATCTTTGGCAAAAGCCTTTTTTGAAATTTATTCAATTCCTCATCTTCCACTGTGTCCTCATCTCTGATCAGTTTAGTCCTATCAGTGACCTTCTCTTCATGCAATGGATGATCAATGTCTAATGTAGTTTTTTCCTGAACTTCTACTAGCACCGTTTTTTGTTTGTCAGCACCATTTTTGTCCTGAAGTGTTTCTATGGACGTCTCAGCCGGCCCAGAAACATTAGTAGATTTTTGTATGGCAAGATTATCTGCTTCTTTGTCTTCCATTTTAACTTGATCTATCCTCAGAAAAGAAGGTACAGGTTCCTCCTCAGAGGATATTTCAAATTTTCGCCGTATTTCAAGATGTTCCTCTTCATCTTCATTTGATGCATTGTATTCTTCGTCTCTTCTAAAATTTTCAAATGCATCAAAATGCACATGTTCAATGACGTCATCTGAAACTGACCCTGACCCTGCATTCTGTTCAAATTGTTTATTATTGCCACAGGTAAATCTGTCAGCTATTTCACATTTCCCCTCAGGAAATTCTATCCTAGCTTCATTTAAGTCAACACTGTTTTCAGAGACATGCAAAATCTCATCAGGGTAGCCTGTGTATTCGATAACATGTTTCTCAATTTCATCTTCCTGAACACAAACCGGTTGCAGTTCAAGTGCATCCTCAACATTCTCTTCTTGATTGTATTTTGCTTCAAAGTTCTCCACATTCTCATAATGAGTCCCTCTCTCAGGTTTCCAGATCTGAACATGTTCGAGACATGGCGGTTTCCAAATCTGAACTTCCTCTATACCCTGATATTCAATTCTTTCTATTGCACAAATATTCGCCTGTGCCTCCTCCTCCTCCTCATGCCAAGGTGTAGGAGAGTCTTTTGGTAAATGAGACACTTCAGTTTTAATTGTCAGATGTTCTGGTGGTATTACATCCACCTGATCATTGGCAGATGCCGATAATTGTTTATCACTCTCATGCGGCGCACTGTCTAACGTTGGCTTTGGTTCATCCACATCAGCTTCATATTCCTCATATGCTAATTTATAATCCGAAGGCACCGATGGCTGACGTGCATAAATATGCTCATAGCCATTTTCAATGGGCTCAATAAATTGTAATGCTGTATCATATTGTTCATTGCAACTTTCTTTTTCAGTTAGTACTGTGGTAGGGCCAAGTATTGGCGGCCTATCGTCAAGAATGCCATTTTCATTTGATACATGTTCTTTCGCAGTGGCAGAGTTAAGGGCAGATGGGAGAGGTGGCTTTCCAGCTGGTAATGGTGGTCGTCCAGCGACACCATTTTGCACATTATTGGGTACTGCTTCCAAAGCCTCTTCACCGTCCAAAGTTCCTCCTACAGCTCCTAAAACTTGTACATTATCATCATCTTGAACTGATTGGTCTTTTTCACTCATCATGTGTCCTAAATGATCCCTGAATGTCATAAAACTCATTTCACCTTCCAATATAGCATGGCTGTCATGAATTCTCATTCTTTTAGGCTTCCGTTTCCTGGCACCTTTCCGACGTTTCGGTTTCTCACCTGGCAGTTTAGGTTTCCTAACAATTGGTGGTACTTCCAAGACTCTATTCTCCACATCCTCACACTCTTCTTCCTGTTGCATCTCTTCTTCTTCGTATTCATCTTCTTCATCCTCGTCATCCTCCTTTTCCACAATCTCAACTTCCTCCAGTTCAATCTCTCTCTGTAGATCAACCTCTTCCACTCTCTGTCGTTCAATGACTTCCTCAACCTGTATGTACTCATTCTCAGGTTTTTGCTTGTTTACTTCAATGTGAACCTGTTTCACCTGCTCATGGTAACTGAAGTTTTCATCGAGTACCGCATCAGTGTTGGCAGGTTGTAAGTCAGCTACGGGACTAATAAGAAACAGAAAGAGAGGAAAAATTATTAAAATAAGAGGATAAAGTAAAAATATACACTGGAAGACAATTTAATGAAAGAATTTTCCCTAAAAACTGTTCACTTACCCTTGTATTTTAGGGGGTGTAGTCAAGGTGCCAGTGGTTGTAGTTAATGATCCTTCACCAATGCCTTTTTCCCAGTCATAAGGATCGGCTTCTTTGATACCTTTACGATTCATGCAGTGTTCCAATAAGTTTTTGAGATACTGTAAAAGAAAGATAAAGATGTCACACCAATATTCCATACAGCATGGAATACCAATATAAAGTGGGAAAACACTATTACATACACAGAACAATTGATGCTTATTCTGCACTTTGACTGATTCCCAAATTATCACCAGACACAATAAAACAAGCCCAGAAACACAACAAATTTTAGGTAAGTGAAAACTCAACAGGCAAGATTACAAATAGGAGGATAGGAGGCAAATTAAACACCCTGTGTTTGAAATAATGTACATTGAACAAAGAATATTTTCATTTTCATTTATATACATTTATACAGCATCTTGCTTAACAGCTAAAGTTAGTCCTTAGTGTAACTAACATATTTTTGAAATATTTTAATATTTGCATGAAAGAAAAATCAAAAGAGACTATTTTAAAATATGATCACCATTATGGTCAATCAACATGAGTGCATATTGAATGCCTTGGCAAAGTAATAGTAACATAATACTATTATCATTGAATTAAAAACAGGTGGGCTCCATGATGCAATGGAGAGTAAGGACATTAAATTTGTTATGGTAATTTATAATGTCATTATGATAGGCAGATAGTTACGCAGCCCTGACAGGTAGTTCAAAAACATTTAACATGGTTTCTTTGGTACAATGCACTACAAGTCAGCACTTGCAATTTGGACAGAAAAAAAAATTCAGGAGAGACAGCAGTGACATTCAATGTGACTTCTGAAGGCCCAAAACAAAAATGTAGTGGCCTCTTTAATGTTTTCACACTTGTGTTAATTTTCTTTTAATGTCAATGACACACCAGGGAATGAGTATAACTAGGGGACATATTGGCTTAGAGGGCACACTGATACTTTATGCTGACTTGAGACGAAAAGAAAAAAATGACTTACTTTGTAATCTGGTTTATCTTCATACTTTAATCCCTGGATGTGTTCAAGAAAAGGTTTAAATTCAGATGGAAGCTGCTTCAAAAATTTTCTGTTGTCATGCGTTTCCTTCAAAGTGCCAACATGTTCCTGCAAACAACAGAGAAAGTGTTTTAGTAATGAGGGCAAAATAGTACAGGTATAATCATAGTGTTGACAAATATAAAGGTGTTTGATATGGTTCTAATGTGATGTATACAATGTGTGTGCAAATACATTGTTTTACATGTAATTTAACAATTGCATTATTTGAAGGCTATGGATAATTTTCGCTGAAACAATAAATTTGATAAAACTTGCTGGAAAAAAACAGGCTTTGCCTGCAATTTGTTTCTGTTAACGTATGCATTGTGATCAAAACATGTTATTAATGTTTGGAAACTGTAAACATTTGCAAATTACATTTTTAATAGGACAGAAAAGTGGGAACTTTGGTAGCTGAAAACTGGATTAGCAACATCTATGGCAAAAATAATTGTCTGCATTGATTCCAGAACTATGAATTACCGATAACCTCACCATTGGTGCATACCCAGGTATTTGTCGCAACAATGGAATATGAGCTAGTACATTTAAGAAGAACTTCTCACCTTATCTTTGATCTTCCTCCAGGGTAACTGTCCTGCTACAAACTCAACTAACATGTAAAAGAGAGACCACAGATCGTCATGCCGACCCATCTCCTGCAAAGAAGATAATGGGATAAAATATAACTGTATAACATCTCAAACTGTGCACATGTAAATTAAACACACGATCAGCGTGCTGAAGACATAATCCATTAAGGAAGCAACCATTAATATCCTCTGTACATCACATTATTTCAACTATGGAATTTAAATTAATATTAAGCATCTCATTTTAGCTGATTTCGCTGTATTGTAACCAGATATAGCTGATTTCGCTGTATTGTCACAAGATATATAGCTGATTCAGCATAAAGTATATTCTCACAATAAGTTATTTGATACCCTTCACAGGCGTTTAATAATTTAAACTAAATTGTCAAAAATATCACATAGCTATTTACAGTACATATATGAACATATTTTATGAGCTACAGTAATTTCACCTTTAACATACTACAGTACTGGAAATTATTTGTCCACTTTTATTTTCAGGTGATTTGTGGAAAAACAATTAGAAAACGATCAGAATATTCTACTGATATTTTTGTTTTCTAATTGCATCTGTTTCTGATACTTGTATGGTATATAGACATGTAAATGACTTGCAGAGATCGTTCTTGAAAATTAAACTGTGCAAAATATCTACTTTTGACTCTTGCACAAAAGTTTCCAGTTCTACAGTATTCAATTGGTGATTGGTAAACTACAGCAAAAAGCATATTCAACGATTTCCCATTTGAGCAAAAATAAATAATCAGTCAAAAAAATAAGCCTGTTTTTAAACCGATGGTAGAATGTGTTTTGTGTCTAATCCAGTATTTTAAACAGGTCGTAAACATGTTTTTTGTCTAATCCAGTCGTTTAAACAGGTGGTAGAATGTTTTTTTTACTAATAAGGCAGAAAACAAAACAGTCCTTGATACATTGAATATCTCACATCAATAGAACTAAAATATTGAATTATCTTAATGGAGACCATGACCTCACTTTTATTCTCTCAGTAAATTATTACAGCATCAAATACAACTAAGATGTAAACATGTTTACCAAGTCATAACTCAGTTCCTACTGTTACACTACCTAAATGCTGGCATTTCAAATCAACAGCATGCAATAATATTATGAACTTTTACTGTTATTACCGCAGTGCGAGAAGCAAGAATATTGAATATTATGCAGTGGTATTTTTATGAGCTAACATTTCTGAAGTCAAAAGGTCATTTTTTTTTTGCATTATCTAAAAGCTCATTATTACTAAATGAATTTGATACACTGGTTCATATCTATTACAGATATCTGATTTTATTATAACAGAAGGACATCTTTGAGGATGACAGGTCACCAAGAGGTCAAGCAAAGAGTCAGGTGCCAAGAGAAATTATTGATATCAATTAAAACTGATGGAATGCGTGAACAGCACACGTCCATATCTACAATACCGAAAAATACTTACCCGATTACGATGTGCGTTGACCGACGCATAGCGAACAGTGCCTCGGAACCCAGCTGCTGCCCGTGGCTGAAAATA